GAAAGAGATTGAGAGAGTGAGGAAAATGTTAATTGGAAGGTTTCAGAGGAGCTGGAACAGTACACCAGCATCAGAGCTAACTTTAGAAAGAAAGGAAAGAAAAGGAGGACATTATAAATAAAATTAGGGCAACTTTTTGATGAGAAGAGGTACAAAAGTACTATAATAGTTAATGAACCTGTTTGTTTTCTCAGTGGATTGGGATAAAAGATCATCAGCTGAGTAGGAGGATCAGAACAGTAAACTGGAGGAGCATGAAAGATATATTGCTGCTGCATAGAATGAAATAGTGCGTGGGATCTGAACTACCAGGAATACATGTAAGATTCCTGGGCTCCATCCCAGATCTACCAAATCATAGTTTCTGAAGTTGGGTGATTTGAAAGCATCCTAAAGTCTGGAACCTTCGAAATAAAAGGTTCACTAAAGTTATGGGGCCATTGTTGATGCTAGATCACAGCTATCTTTAGGGTCAATCCGTACCTTTATATAATTTTTCAGCATTATTCAACATTGTGGGAGGAAACTATTTGAGAGAAATCAATGGTTGAATTTACTCAGAGTTGGGCTTTGGCAATGTGGATGTGGAAGAAAGTCAAGGGGTCAGTGGAACCAGAGACACTGGTAAGTGCATCATTAACCTGGGGGGTAGTGAGGTAAGAGCTAGGTGGAGAGGGAGGAATTGACAGACAGTAATCTATGAAGAGGATGTGAAGCAGATTGGTGAAAGAGAGTGGGTGAACGGTGGGAACTGGAAGTTTTAGTCAGTGGGATATAGTCTGGTATGAAAGATTTTGAGAGAAGAGATGGTGACACAATCCCAACAGTGGCCATCAAAGGGGCTTCTGAACTAGAGTGGGGATTAAGTTGGCCAAAGTAGAAGAGGTTGGGGAAGTCAGGTTGGAGTAAGAGATGGTTCTCCTTAAGAACAACAGACTTGTTGAATCCCATGATGATGTCAAAGATGGTTTCTCTTCTTCAGGAAAAAGCAGAGAAGACAATGTGAGGTTAGGGAGGGACAGAGAAAGGGGGGGGCGGGGAATAGAAGAACTGGGTACAAAACTATAGTCAACTATACTCTAATAAAAATTTTTTAAAAATAAAATAAAAGACAAGGAAACTGAGGTAAATAAATAAATAAAAGAGCTAGGTAGGCTAGCTCCAAAAATTTAGCCTGGCACTGTGTCTCGGTATGCACGATTTTAGGACCGTTGGTGGCAGAATGAGTCATTGTGTTGGCACTGCACAGTAGCCTCTAGGATGTCTATGTGGTGATAAGTGGAGTTTTGGTTTAGTATTTTGCACATGCTTCAGCTTTACCATATGATGTATTCATTTGGAGATATTTGTCACTTAGATTGTATAAATTCTTAGGAGTAGAGATCTGTCTACCTTATTTTTGAATCCCTACTGCTTAATGCTGTGCGTGATGCATGGTAAGTAATAAAAGGTTTTTCTGGATGAGTAAATGAAAGAAATTAAGCAGCCCCATTACCCAACAGGACCTTTGGCATGAGGTTGCTTTGCAAAGGGGAGTGTGAGTGAATTATGTTTGAGGATGAATTCATGGTGATGGAGGTGAAAAGGGCAACTGTCCTCTGAAGGTAGAATGAAAGAAATTAAAGATTTGAAATGTTTCATACCACAAGCTCAACTTCTGCTTTCTATAAATGCTCCCCTGAGGTAACCTTATCTTTTTAAACATCTGATTCAATTTTATTTTATTTTATGTATGGCATGCATGCTCAGTTGTGTATGGCTCTTTCTGGCCCTGTGGACTATAGCCTACCTGCCAGGCTCCTCTGTCCATGGGATTCTCCAGGCAAGAGTACTGGGGAGATTAGCCATTTCCTTCTCCGGGGAGTCTTCCCCATTCAGAGATCGAACCTGCATTAGCAGGGGATTCTTTACCACTGTGACACCTGGGAAGCCTGTAACCTCATCTTTATTCAAGGCTTCAGTTATCACCTCGATCAGCACACAGACCTTTCTTCTGAATACAGACCACTTTCTATTTGACGTCTCCTCTTAGAAGCACTAGAGAGTCTCTGAGGCTCAACCTGCACAAGCAGAATTCACAACCTTCCCTTGCAGCCCTGGTCCTCTTCCAATGGTTCCTCTCTGGGTGCTTAGCCCCTCTTTCCCCAACAGGTCAGGAATATAGCCATTAAACTTGAGTTCCTTTTCCTCATCCTTCATATCCAATCCATAAAGCCCTTCCAATTTTGAGATATAAAGAACTCTTACATTTCTCTCCATTGTGAAAGCTACCGCCTAGTCCTGGCATTCTGTAATATCCCCCAATGTCTACATATATCCACTTTAGGCCCTCTCCAATACGCCCTCCACCTCAAAGCTAAGATAATCTTTTTAAAACTCAAATCTGGGGGCTTCCCTGGTGGTTCACGGTTAAGCATCCGCCAGCCAATGCAGGAGACATGGGTTCGATCCCTGGCCCAGGAAGATTCCACGTGCCGTGAAGCAACTAAGCCCATGCACCGCAACCATTAAGCCTGCATTCCAGAGCCCACAAGTTGCAACTTCTGAGCCCACATGCCTAGAGCCTTTGCTCCACAGAAAGAGAAGACCCCACTTGCCACAACTAGAGAAAGCCCAAACGTAGCAGTGAAAACCCAGTGCCACCAAAAATAACAAATAATTTTTTTAAAAATACTCAAATCTCATGGTGTCCTGTTCCTGCTTAAACCACTTCAATGACTTATTATTGCTCTTATCTTGAACATGATTTACAAGGTTCAGTATAGTCTGTCCCCTGAATGAGGCTCATTTTGCTCGGTACTCCTTTGCTGTCTCTGGGAGCCAGTCATTTCTCTCATTCTTGGATAGGCATTATACTGTTCCCATCCCCACCCCCCCCAAGACATTCCCCACTTCATGTGATTAACCTCTATACTTCCTTCTGATCTCAGCTCAGACATGATATCCTTAGAGAAGCTATCAGAGACCTCCAACAAGGTGAAATTCCCTGCTTACATTTGCTCATAGAAATATGTCCTCTACCTCCATAGCATCTCTGTTTTGATTTCATATTTCTGTGTGTATGATTATTTCACTCATGCTTGCTTCCCTCATGAGACTGAGCTCTGTAAGGTGCAAGAACCCCATGTGCTTGTGTTAAGTACAGTGCTTGGCACAGCACACAATGAGTACGCCATAAATATTTGTTAGGTGAGGGAGTAGACAGACCAAAGAACACCCTTGTGTGGTATTAGTTGTAAACACAACAATAAAGTCCTGTTTCTCTGGTCCATTCACTGGTACTTGGGAATAGTGTGGTCATAAATAACTCTTCTAGACAACAGTATCCATAACTTAACCAGGAGTTAGTCAAATACTTTATTACTGTTTTGGCAAAGGCATATTCTCAGGCAAGTTATAATCTCTTTAGACCTAAACTCTTGATTTCAATTATACACTAGGTATGTCTTCTGTCCTTGAAATATCTGCAGCTCTTTTCTCCAGGTTCTTCCTTCTCTTCCAGTCTGCCTCCTTAACTGGCAATAACTGTGGGCCTCCTGCAAAGACAGGAGAGAGCTTGAAACAGACCTGGCTTCTCTGTGGGAGAGTTGGAAAGAAGCACACAGCATGGGTACTCATTCTATGGGACTGTTTTGGGATTCAAAAACAACCACTGGATTCTACTTCTTCAAACTAGTTTTGAAAAACAAAACTTGAATGTTCGATGTGATGAGAAGCTAGTCTTGAAGACAGTTTGCTGTCTGTAGGGATGTTATTCATCACTCTTAAAAAATATAACCCAGGAGCCTTGTTTAGGTATCTTTACTCCCTTCCTTGTTTAATTGGGGTGACATATACTCAGGTTGAGCTCCTTCTGACTCAGTAATCTCTAAGCAGTATAGACTTTCAAGCTACTGTTGTTTATTTACTATAGATTTTGCCTAAATATTTCATGGTAAATGAAGGAGAACAACTTGGTTTTCAAACTAGAATGCTTCTTAAGAAGCTGGTTTCTCCATCATTCTGATTCTTGATTCCAAGCTCTCTTGGGTAAATGAATCCCAGCTACAGGATCCGAACAGGAGATCCCATTCTGTTCTACAGACTTGCCATGTGAAACTTGCAATTGTCTCTCTCTATGTTAATTTCTTCAGGTCTTCCCAGGTGGCTCAGTGGTAAAGAATCTGCCTGCTAGTGCAGGAGATGCAGGTTGGATCCCTAGGTCAAGAAGAGCCCCTGGAGAAGGAAATGGCAACCTGCTCTGGTGTTCTTCCTGGGATAATCCCATGGATAGAGGAGCCTGGTGGGTTACAGTCCGTGGGGGTCACAAAGAGTGACTGAGACGCTGAGCACACACATGGTAATTTCTTCATCTCTAGAAGAAATGCAGTGGTTCTCAACATCATCAGGGAGCTGTAATTAAATCACTGAAATGTTACTGGAAGAAAAAAGAGTGATTAATTTTGCAGAACAACATATCTATATTTTATTCATGTTCTATAATGTGCATGAAAGTGCCTTCAGAGAAGAATGTTTACACTGTATGTATATGTGCCTGATTTGACAACTCCAACCTACACTTCAACCAACCATTTCTGAATAGGAAAAAAAAAAGTCAGAAGCTTGCAATTGTGCAACATGTAAATCTCTCCTGGATTGGAGCCCATCGCTGTGGTTTGGCAACGATGCAACCAATACATCTCTTTTCTCATCTCTTGAAAAAAAAAACCAACAGAGAAAAAAGTACCATGAAAATAAAGGTAATGATTAATCCATCAGGCACAAAAAGGGTTATTAGGATTTTAGGTTTTACCTGGCCATTTCAAATAAACAGCAGCAACCACGGAACGACAACTTCACCACCAGAGGAGTAAACCACAGGCTCTAATTGTGCCTGGATAACCTAATCAGGCATCTCCAGGAACCTGTGAGCAGTTGTTAAAAACTTTTATGTGCCAGTGAAGTAGGGATCAGAAGAAGCAGGTGTTGGTGAAACGAGTGGTCTTTGAAGAAGCCCCAAGATGCAGCCTGAGATGGAACAAAAGAAAAAAAACTTGAAGCAGAGATTGGTCTTGAAGAACACTTTAGCCAAGGAAACACTCTCTGAATTCTTGGGTACATTTATAATGATTGTAAGTATTTTCTGATTTCCTGAATTTTGAACCAAGGATGCCTCACTTGTAACCTAGCTGATGATAAAAAATTTTATCTTTGTTTTGATTTCATCATTAGACTCACTTCTTTCAGCAATCAGCAAGTTACTTTCAGCAAGTTACTGTTTGGCTACTCAGTGGCCAACATTTTAGGTTTCTGCTTACTCACTCCATTTAGCCACAAAAGTGGATGAGAAAGAAAGAGGGGCATGAAGTACTTTCTTCATTTTACAGATTTACTCAGGCTCTAAAATGACTTTGTGACTAAAATTAGCTGTTAGAAAATTTTTCCCTTTGCTTAACTGATTTATACCCTGCTTATTTCCCTAAAAATGTTAAGCTGATTTATCAATAATCAATAAATATGGATGCCAAGAGACAGCTTGTTATCACAAGTGCTTGGCAAAGCTTGTGTTGTCAGATCACTTGATTTTTACTATATTAAAAAATGCACTAATTTATTAGGTAGAAATAGTGTACTGTGCAGTGGTTCAGCTGTAGTTTTATATTATTTTCCCCCTCTATTTAACTCAAACTAATCTCTAAAGAGTTTCAATTAGACAGTTATAAAAAATTGTCAGATATAAAGGAAGGATGTATTCTAAGAACATTTTGAGGATTTTGCCTGAAGATTTGCACAGCTATTAATAAAAGTCTGGAAAGTTTACTTAAGTGGCATGGGCTCTATAGGTTTTCATCCTGCTGCATGTTCCATCATTCTCTGTATCCTGAATTTTTAGCTGGGCTCAAACCATTATTGAGCAAAAGTTAAATGTGTGATTATTTTCATGAGTAGCTGCTACTGATTTTAACTTGCTTTAAAACAACAACAAAAATCTGCTCGAAGATTCCCTACTCCACTTACGAATAATTTCATTTTTAAGATTATAGAGGATTATCCAAAAACTTTGTACATTAAAAGTTCTTGGGTGATATGCAGCATGGTGACTACAGTTAATAGTATTACATTACATATATGAAAATTGCTAAGAATATATCTTAAAAGTTCTCATCACAAGAAAAAAATGTATAACTATGTATGCAGATAGACATTAGTTAGATTTATTGTGGTGCTCATTTTACTATATAAACAAATATTGAATTAGTATATTGTACACCTGAACTAACATATTGCTATATGCTAATTATACCTCATTTTTTTAAGTTCTTTGATTTGTGTAAGTACATATTTCAGGAGACTAATCCAAGAAATGAATATGGACTCAAAAAATTGAACTAGTGTAAAATGAGACAGAGCGATGTATTTTCTGGTTTCTGAAAACCTCTTTGTACATGATTCATTCAAGTATCTTCAAGGCATTAGGACAATTTCTTACACTCCCTCTTGACCACCCTCCCCTCTCATCTACGTGACTTAGTTAGACGGGGGCAGTGTTGAGGAGAAGGGCGTTGGAAGGAAAAGAGAGAGAAAATAAAAGCCCAAGATTCTTCTGATTCTAGTCACTCTTTACTGAAAAATTGCCCTCGGGGAGTCAGAAATCCTGTGGTTATGTTCCTTGACAATTTGGTCCCAAAGGGAAGAGTGGTGGTTACCCCAGCCTAACTTCATCCTCAGGGTGACCTGTGATATAGAGAAGTGAAAGTAAATTCAGTTACAATTCTAAGTGCTCTGCAAATAAAATAGAGGAGGAAGTGAGCTATACATCTGTGTATTTTGTAATCAAAAAAAGTTAAAACCCTCTATTTCTTCATAAGAATCTGTTTCATAATCTCATGCTGTCTGAACTGAGTAAATGAAAGTGGCTTTTAGCCATTCACTATTCTGCTCATGCAAATAGTAATGTGTTTTCCCCTACAATTCAAGGTGGGAGCTACAGAAATAATATCCTGACACTGTATGCTGAAAAATTAAATTTTGTATCTTCTGGCTAAAGCCACTCATTTCCTGAAATGTTTGATTTCTATTTATGCTGTCCGAAAATGAACCTTGATGAAATCTTTCTGATTATAAAATTCAATTTTGTTGAGGCTTGTGGGGATGTATAAACAAGAAAATTCTGCAAAAATGTATTTTTTTCAATATACATATAAATTAAAATTTTAGTTTTTAATAAATCTACATCTTGCTCAAAGGTTATCCAAAGTAATTATTTCTGCTTTATTAGAAAATGTGCATTTTGCCTTACTTTGTCTAGTAAAAAGTTTACATGTTGATAAGGCATAGAGCAAAGGGAGCACTAAAAATTGGCAGACTATATATGTAGGACTCACTTTATTTGTAAAGATAATTTTCACTGAGACACTGGGAGTCTGATGCCATTTTCACCCCAATCTTGAAAAGTGCTCTTAAGGTTAGCATCTCAAGCTTATTCACACTGTGGTATAAATGACTGATAAGGGCTACTGGGAGCATTAAGGGAAGAGAAGTTCCATGAAAAATTCTCTGTATATTAAAATAATTAAGTCATAAGCTAAAAAATTAGCTCTAATTTGGCCTTTTAGACATTGGGATGGATGGTGGTGGTGGTTTAGTTGCTAAGCAGTGTCCAACTCTTGTGACCCCATGGACTATAGCCCACCAAGCTCCTCTGTCCATGGGATTTTCCCAGAAAGAATACTGGAGCAGGTTGCCATTTCTTTCTCCAGGGGATCTTCCCAATCCAGGAATCAAACCCGCGTCTTCTACATTACAGGCAGATTCTTTACTGCTGAGTCACCAGGGGGATCCAGACATTGGGATAGGCAGGACTTTTTGCGTTTACTGGTGTGAGGAAGACAGGCTGCAATGCATCTTTCCTATCACAGAGAAGAGGTTTAGAAGCACTGAGCTGCAAATATAAGGAGTAAGTAATAAGTATCTACTGTTTGTTAGCTTCTTTACCTACATTTATCACTCATAAACAGTTGGAGAAATGAAGGCTCAAAGAGATGAAGTAACTGCCCCCAAACCAGTAGGCTTTGCAGTGAACTGGGGTTCTTTCTAATTATACAGCCTATGCTTTCCGCATACTTCCACCCATTGCTGGAATTCCTTTGGTAGTGTCCTTGATAGATAGTAAATCAGACTCTGCTTTAATGTTTCCATAGACTGGAGCCTTGAGTTAACACTGTGTGCGTATGTGTTTAATTAATGAGCACCTGATGAGACCAGATCATTAGGTGGGCCACCAAGAAGAAATTCAGGTGGAAGGATGTAAAGGTGAAGGCAGAGAACAGACTTCTCAGACCCCAGCATGTGGGCCCATGACGTGTGGGTTTCCGGTTGCACATTAAATATACACTACATGTAAAATTCCTGACATAGGAAGCTCATTACATGTTAGCTCCCTTTCCCCTTGATCCTTCTGCTCTTTTACTTGAGAGTCTTTGTAGTATTTAAAAATAGCTTCTTTGTCCCCTCCTGGGCATTGTGTCCATACCTTTCCTTAGAACTGACTACAGAACTCTGCCCATACATAAAAGAAGCCCATCAATGTGTGTTGAATTAATAATTCCTTTAGGAGGCTGAACTTTCCAAGATCTCTCATCACTTCTCACAGGATCTATGTTCACTCCTCACTATTCTGTGTACCCTCCTCTCTCTCCAAACATTCCAAGATTCTTTGATAAAGAGCCCATCCTATTGAAGATGCTAAGGTGAACAGCCCAGCCAGCAGCCATATTTCCCTTTATGGTGGAAGGACATCCTTCCAGGGCTGGACTTAGGAGTGGATGGCATCTACTTGTATGTTGGGAAAGACCCTACATTTTTTTCCTCACCCTGTCAAGCCTGTACATTAGACATCTACCTTTTGGCCTATCTAAGAATGAAATAATGCAAGTACTTTTGATAAAAGTAATACCTTTGATCTGTGCCGTGAAGGGAAATAGAAAGGGCAGAGGCTGGTTACAGAAATTATAGGGCTCTCAAATGATTATTACAAAGTGTGCTCAGATCTTGGAATAGGTCTGATCCATATTAGGAAGCTGTTGAAACTAAAGAATATAGGGTTAGCATTCACTGTGAAATAGGAAAGTTCTTAAAATTAGCCAGTTCTTAAACTAAGGCCACATTGCAGGATGTAATTTAGGGCAATCCTGGCCTACTACATTATCTGGAGTTCCCAGAGACTGGTAGGACAACTGTGAGGTAAGAGTGAGGTGGATGTCCTTTGCCCTTCTTGTTGATGGGAAGCTAAGGCACAGGCTGATGCAATTATAGGTCCTAGGAATCAGCATGGAGCCCAGTTGTCCTGTCTTATACACATACTGGGCCTTGGGTTTCCACTCTGCTTTTCCTCTAAGAGGCACGGAGTGTTTTTTCATCTGGACTGTTGCTTATTTTTTATAACTCTCCATGGAGAGGAGGGGGAGAGGGAGGGAAGGAGGGAGAGAAAGAGAAACATGATGAACTCCATTTTGCCAGATGGGAAAACAGATGTATCACAATCAAGAGGTTCACCCAAGGTCACCCAGCCCATGAACACAAGAGCTAGGCTTAATATCTTGACTTCAGTCATTCCTAAAATTTAGTCTGGGTTTTTCTATTACATCTCACAAAAACTTAAATGAAAATTTTGGCCAATCCAATACCAGTATTCAATGAGAATTAATGCCTTTCATGTGGAAGTCCAAGAGAACTTTGTTAATTTTATAGCCTAAAATACATTAGACAGTAGAGTGTCAAAAGATTACTATATAGGACAGATATGACCATGACATGAACATTTCATAGAAGATCTATTAGCATGAAGTTTTTAGACTTCTTAAATGCGACCCACTCCAGTGTTCTTGCCTGGGAAATCCCATGGACAGAGGAGCCTGGTGGGCTACAGTCCACGGGGTCACAAAGAGTCAGATATGACTTAGCAACTGAGCACCCAGGCACGACCACCTACAAACACATTCAAACCCCCTGTAACATCAGAACTCTAAGGTGGTTCAGCCATCTCTTCATGGCTCTAATAAACATGTTGGCCATGCATGGCACTCTGATCTTGCCCTAATATTTCTATTTTCTAGATCCTCCTCTGTGAGAC